AGCTCAACCACCCTTCCCGCTTCCCCCACCCCCACTCAGAGAGCAGCAAGAATGGCAGCCAAAGGAGCCAAGACTGCCACAAAACAAGCCACTGGGTCAAAACCCCAGAATTCTGGGACCGCTGCCATCCCCTCCACTGGTAAGAGCAAGGGAACTGGGACGAACCATGGGGTAGCACCCACCCTAGAGCCATGGATGAAGACCACAGCCTTGAAACTGAAGGAAGTGGATGGGAGTATACCCGACTTGAACCCGGAAACGTTCAGTAAACAAATGATACTGGACCAAGGATTCACTGCAGTGGAGACCCTGAGCATACAATACCTTGCAGCAGGTCTGTTCCATGTCACGTTCATAACAATTGTAACCTGTAAGAGGTACTGGGAGCAATTCCTTGCGGCCAAACCAGACTCCCCTTTCGCTCGATTTATAGGAAGCTGGCCGATAAAGAGAGAGGAAAGAAGGGTGACGGTATCCATGAGGAATCCCCACACCCCTGACAAGGACATTGCAACGTTTCTGATCAGATTCTGCATGGTGATGAGCGACCCAGCCCAGATCAAAGACAAGCACAGCTTCTGGACAGGAAGATGGTCCCTAACTGTCTGCCTGAAACAGGATCCATCTTCTCCTGGAAACTTGCAACACCTGCCGCAGTGCTTCTCCCTAGGTAGCTCAGCTGGCATGCATTTCTACTAGGACCAACCCAGGAACTGACGAAAATGCAACCTGCCTGGGCACCAGAACTGCAAGGTATCTGCCTGCAGGATATGCAAGGTGACAGGCCACTATACGAAAAACTGTCCCAGGAGAACAACCTGCAACCTGTGTGGGGATACCTTACACATGTACAAGGACTGCCCGAAGAGGACCAGGAGCTTCACAGCAGTAGCTCCTGGCACATCGACAGGCCCAACTGAGACCCTCCAAATGAACAAGATGCCAGGCAAAAAGAAGGGTAAGAAAACTACCCAAACCTCCGCTGCCACACTTCCCTCTTCCACAAACCCAGCCCCCTCTTCTCCCCCCTCTCCTCCCCCTCTTTTCCCCTTCCCTTCCCGTCACCTAACCGCCCCCGCCCCCCACCCAGCCCACTCCCCCCCAACTCTACCCCTCACCCACTGCAGCAGATTTAACCCTCTCCCTCACTGCTGCAGACCCCTCCCAGAACCCTTTCCCCGCTCTTCTCCCCACTACAGGCAGGCCCCTTGAGGAACAACTGTGAGACTCTTGTCAGCGGAAAATCAGCAATGAAGAAGCAGGACTGGGAGATACAAGCCCACCCAAGGGCCAGCAAATGAAAAAGGCACAAACAGCAGCCTCCCCCTTCCCTGCAGAGGTAACCGATGTGGAGGCAGACTAGCTCATCTGAGAAGCTCTGGAATATGAAGATTGTAGACAGATGCACCTTGTCCCAAATCTACCTCTGCCTTAATACCACGTTCGGTATCTTCAAAAAAGATTGTGGTATTATATCAATGGAAAAAAACTGCGCACACACGTTTAGCTTCTGTTTCCTCATCTTCACTCTTTCTAGCTGTCGGGTGCCCTTATTTAATATCATCCTTTCCTGTGGATTACCGCTGTCTTTTTTGAAGGCTCCGATCGCGGTATATTATTAAGAGGCATCCTACATTGGCGGATTTATATTTACCTCTTCACGTTCCGGTGGCTGTTTTTTTCCATTGATATAATACCGCGGTCTTTTTTGAAGATTCCGTCCGCGGTATTAAGGCAGAGGTAGATTTGGGACAAGGTGCATCTATCTACAATCATCATATTCTCTGCCTTCTGCTACCAGTCTACCTGAGCGGTGTATGGGAACTTTGGCTACTGAATTCATTTAGTTTTCTACATCTGGTGAGGGCCCACACTGAGGTCAGGTACATTTTTAATAAATGCTTTTTATGTTTTTATTTTTTATCTGTACGGTTTTTGATTTATATGTTATTTCACCCAAGTGCTTTTATCACAGGCATTTATTATCTTCTGTGTCTGTGGTGTATCCGTGATTCAGCTACATTTATACATTTCTCTGCAGGGCTATCGCAACGGGTATTTTATATACATTGTTGCGATACTCCCCATTTGGTATATTGTAGCAATTCATTGAGTCTACCTCAGCCCACTCTTGATTATTACAGTCTACATTGACTATCAATTAGTGAATTTATTATAGAGGAATTTAAACAACCTGATTTTTTTTTTTCTGAATGTCATTCCAATTGTGTTATTATTAAAGATTGGTATATGTTTTAGTTTATTTTTATTATTTATTATATTAAGGAGTGCACATACTGTATTTCATATATTGAGTTTACTGCTCATCAAGTCGCTTACAAGTGTTTGTAGCTGCCCAAGTTTGGATTATTTTTATTTTGTACCTATTCTTATATTGTTTTTGTTTTTCCATTGTATTGTGTCTTTTCCCCTTGACTTCTGTGTTTCACCATGTATTGGTTATGCATTTCATGTGATTTCCCTGGTTTATTTTTAGGGTTCCTATATGTTTGGATGTATATTTAATAGTTTGTGTTATTATCCGCAACTCTAGTGCCTGGGGGATAATTGGGTTGAGCAAATGTCTCTTTTGGATATGGTATTGAATCAAGGGTTTCCGGTTTCTAGAAGGCTTGATCATTGCCAGATCAAAATACTTCCAGGACACATCACTGTGACATCCCACACCTTGCATCTTGCTGTCTCAGGTGCTTGGATCTAGCTGACAAAATTAAAGTCGTGTTTGGTCGTTGAGTATCTGGAATTAAAAATCAGCCACTCAAAGGCGCAAACACCGCTGGGACTTCCACCTTCTAGTCCATTTGTGGAAATTCATACAAACAGAGTGGCGTTCAGGGGGAGCAACTTCCCGAACTAAGAAAATCATACAAACAGTTTTTTGTACTATTTCTATGTATTTTATACTCCCGAAAGAGACCGACCACACAGCCTATTTTCATGGAACCTTTTTGGGCAGACGCCTCTTGTGTGGTCGGTCTAAAGTATACCCCGGTTGCGTTTCGGCTGCGTTCATGGGATCTGAGCACTTTTCGTCTATATTGGGCGTTCAGACCCAGGCTATCCGGGGATATAGTACTTGAGGGAAATGTATATTTTGGGGTGATAAATATTATACATGTCCTGGACCTGAGATAATGTAATTATATTGTGTGCTTTGATTCAGTCTTCTCTCAGGTCCAGTGGGAAATGCCCCTGGAATATGTATCTGGAAACCCCTTGCATGGGGATTCTCAAAAGTCCAGCTGTGTCTCCATTAAAATCAGTTATACCCCCAGAGCTGAGTGTCGCCCAGTTGTTGGGGAGGTGTTGGGAGATTCTTGGAGAATTTTCCTGTATTTGGCTGTTTCCTTGGAGTAGTCTACCTGTTCCTGAGCACATCTTGGAGTAACTAGCGGAGGACAGTCCCTGCTAGGATTAGTGCTCTGCTACAATCTCCAAAGTAAAATGATCGAAGATACTGTCATAATCTGGAACGATGATAAAGCATCGTTTGATGGCTTTGTGCAATATCTGAATCATAATAATTTTAACTTAAAATTCACCCCCATGTGGAGTAAACATAATATCAACTTTTGGGGATCTCACTATATTTCAAGAGAATGCAGATATTAGGACTAAATGCTATTTCAAACCCACGGACGGTAACAGCTATGTCCATAAAAAAAGCTGTCACCACCGCCCGTGGTTAAACGGAATAGCTAAAAGTCAGCTAACTAGAGTGAAACGAAACTGCTCTATGATGTCAGATTTTAAAATTCAAGCAAATCATATTAAAGGAAAACTCTTACAGAGAGGTTACAATAAAATCCACATAGAAAAAGAAATTAGGGTTATATCTCAGAAAGAAAGGACTGAATTCCTTTTAATTACTAAAACAGTAGCCAGTGAAGACACATTTAGATGTGCTTTCTTAACACAATAGAACACCAAT